ATTTTAAGCCGCTTTAAAACTTTGTACTGAAATGAGAGCACATTCACTTTCGAAATGCTCTTGCGCAGTTTGTGCAGTAACGGTGGATTGCGTTATCGAACCTTATCACATTCGGTTACAGTGGTTATTTTATTAAAACACGAACCAACAATCATTAGTTCTGTGACGAATTTTTCATAATAATAATTGTGCAGCTACAAAATTTATAGTCACACCCGAATGCATGAGCCCATTGATAACAAAAAAAATTCTTAACATATCGTGTTCTCAGCTTTTGTTTATCTATATCGCGTGTATTTGCTTATTTCTTACAAATCAACGTTTCCGGTTTTTAGGCCCCATGGTCACGGCTAATATAGTTTTTTTTTTAATAATATGATATAATTGACATAGCGAGTAAGTCGTTCGCCTGGTGTTAAACGACATACCTGTCCATAACAATGGCAGTGCCACACAGAGCTTTAACCCGAGACCCTGAGACATATGTTAACAAGTTTCATGTGCCTGTAATTTCGTCAACACCCGTAACCTCCAAAACCGGAACGCAGTAATGTGAACACTACTGCTTGGCGGCAGAAATAGGTAAGGTGGCAGTACTTTCCATGACAAACTCTTTCACACGTAGCTCTACTGCTACTAAAGTATTCCAAGGTGTATAAACCTTCGAGATGCTTTTTTATTACAATGTTAGCGAGATGCGCTGCTACTAGACATTTACAGTTTAAATTGTAAACATTTACACTGTTTTATTGTTACTAGTTACGTGAAATTCTTCAGTTTACGGCACTTAACGTAGAATTTCAGTTAGTTACAAGAGATAAATAAAATTTTATTGACTTAACTGAGGTTACATATGTAGATAATTGCTGGTGAACTTCTTTTAAGTATGAAAATACTTTTGTCAGAAGTCACCGCTCCTCCAATCCGATACAGTTATTACGTAGATTAAGTACTGATCTTATTTTTAACCAACTTAAAAAAAAAGGAGGAGGTTCTCAATTCGACTGCATGTTTTTTTCGTATGTACGCGACAACTACGGTATTTGTGCACCGATTTTCATGATTCTTTTGTTGGAAAGAGGGTACCTCTATAGTGGTCCCATTTAATTTTGAAGAAAACGAAACGAAACTGTAGCACAGAAATCACATGCCCGCTCGAGACTGAATTATTTTAAGGGTGACTATGATTATATTGCTGACGCATTGGATAGAGTAGCTTGGCATGAAGAATTAAACACGTGCACAACAATTGATGACGCGGTTGATAGGTTTTACACTATTATTCGCGAGTTTATATAAAAACATGTTCCACGTCATACTAACAAAAAATAAAAATATTCCTTTTGGTTTTTAAAACAACTTATCAGAAGATTGAATGAAAAAAATAGATTGAGACTGAAATTGAAAAAATATAACAATCCGTTAGATGCAATTGAATTTACTTTACTTAAAAAACGGTGTTATCACATGACTGTAGCCTGTTACAGCTCTTATATTGCGAGTTTAGAAGATAGAATAGCACATAATCCAAACTTGTTTTTGAGTTACCTAAAGCATAAAAAGGGTACAATCAGTAATTATCCTAATGTTATGACGAATGGAGTGGATAGTTCGGATAACGTTGAAGAAATATGTGATTACTTTGCGTCGCAATTTTCCAAGGTGTATGTCGACTCCACAGATGCTGTTCATGCTAGTTATACTGAAACTCCTAACTGTATAAATAATAACATATTATGCAAGATTACCGTAACTGAAAGCCAAATAAAAAAAATCTTTAAAGGGTCTGGATGTAAATAAGGGAGCCGGTTCAGATGGCATGGCGCCCCTTTTTCTGTCTAGGACTGCCAATAGACTAGCGCTTCCCTTGATGTTGTTGTATAATAGATCGCTTCACGATGGTGTTTTCCCCACTGTTTGAAAGAAGACTAAAATAGTACCTGTTTACAAAGCTGGTGATAAAACAAATATTACCAACTATAGACCTATTGCCATCCTGTCAGTATACACACCAAAATATTAGAGGTTCTGATCTGTCCTTTAGCCGCTCACGGGATACATGCAACCGTAGATGCATACCACACCTAGAGGTGCCGGTGATGATTTTATACCGATTTATCGGATATCGAAGTTATAACAGGTAAAAGAACTAATATTAATTGCTATTTCGGTAATTACTCTAGCAAACCATAAAGTTTTTAATGCCTCGGTCTGTCATTTAAAAAAAATAAACAACTTCAAAAATACGTCACGACACTCGTGTGTCTTATTGTTTGGGCTGGTGATTTCAGAGTTTATTTATTGAAAACATACCGTAAGTAGCTTTTTTTAAGTTTACCCTGAATATAAATGTTTATAAACTATAGTTTAAGGAGTAATTTCATGGTAAACGTTAGAACCACTCAAACGGAATATTATCATATTTATCCAAGTACACCAAAAATTTCATTAGTGCTTTTTAAGTGCACGATTTGCAGTGTATTACTGCATTTTATTTGAGATGTTTTTGTTGGTAGTACGGAGGGTATTTATTTAGCAATGCAGAATAATAATTTTTATTTATAAAAACTAGTATTTAAACTGAATGCTTTTCTAATTTGCGAAACCAAATAGCCGCCATTTTGCGGTAGGAGGAGCGCATCGCGTGAGCGGATAATGTGGTGGCACTTAAAACAGTTATTATCGGTCAATCAACATGGGTTCGTCAAGGGGAGATCAGCCACCACAAATCTGGTTATGTATGTTGAAAACCCTGTTGAAGCGGTTGATTCGTGCACACAAGTTGATGCGGTTTACACTGACTTTTGTAAGGCGTTTGACACAGTAAACCATAGCATCTTAATACATAAATTGCAAATTTACGGGGTTTCGGATCCTCGTCTGTGTTGGCTTCGGACATATCTGTCACAACGTGATTTAAGAGTTGTATTGAATGGACTTAATTCAAGACCGTACGGGGTTACATCTGGCATTCCACAGGGATCTCATTTGGGGCCTTACTTATTCAATCTTTTCATTAATGATGTGGATCATTGTTTTCTTTATTCTGATCTGTACATGTTCGTTGACGACCTAAAAACTGCTAAATCGATTAGGAACGATACCAATTCTATCTTGTTTCAGCAGGATTTGGATAGATGAACTGTTTGGTGTAATCGGAATAAAATGACGCTCATTATAAAAAAGTGCAAATACATTAAATTCATTCGTAACCGCAATATTAAACAAACACAATATAAATTGTGCAACGAAGTTCTTGACGAAGTTCAGGAAATTCGCGATTAAGGTATCCAAATAGATTATCTACTAAGATTTGATAAACATATCAATAGGTATATGTGTACTAAAGGCTTCTAAAATGCTCGGATTCGTATTAAGGGAGTGTAGAAGTTTCAAAAAATCTCATATTAAGATAGTCATGTACAACTCTCTAGTAAGAAGCCACTTAGAATATTGCAGTATGGTGTGGTGGTGTGATGCGGTGCCCAGCACCTTCCCACAATATACACATTCAGCGCATTGAAAAGTTGCAGAAAAGGATTATGTGGTATTTAACCTACTCTTGCAAATTAGCTGCAAAACTTGCATCGTACGAGAATCGTTTGAAACATTTTAGATGGCTACACTAGAAACCCGTAGAAAAGTGATTGATCTGACCTTTATCAAAAGAATTGTCTCAGACATTATTGATTGCTCTGGTCTGTCCTCTAAAATAGACTTCCTTATCCCGGGACAATTCGCCTAGGTCTAGTTGTAACAGGTTCTTCCATAGGCCAAGATGTCGCACAAATTTGAGGCAGCCTTGTTTCTTATCACGAGCAATAACACTGTGTAACGAGTATCAGAGTGAAATTGATCTAAATTGTACTTCCGTTGCTATGATAAAGAAAGTGATGTGATAGTTTATAGTTAAGTTTATAATGGTTGTACTTTTATATCGTCATGCGTAATCAAATATTATTTATTGTATTTCTTTTAGTGCATGCTGTGCCCTCCTTTAAGTAATGGGACACTTATTTTAAAACCATAGCGTCTGTATACCTGCATAATTATAGTGTACTCATTGTTGTGAGGGCCTGATTAAATAAATAAATAAAATCATCCACCTCTAACAGTGGTTGTTCACGCATGAAGATTCATTTTTATAAATAGCCCCTAAATTTTATTATAAGGAGCAATTATTTTAATGGTTGATTTTGCTATTCTCTAATTCAAAGCGTTTTTCTCTCTCAATATCCTTTTGTAGTGAGAACCGATTTTTATTATGTCCTGTGTCAAGTTCCGTATAGTGGCGAACTAGGGGATGAATCCGGGTTTGCGCACTTTCCGGTAACCGATTTCAAAAAAAACTTGGCAAATATATGTAATTCCACGTACTTTTGAGGTCGGTTTTTTTAATATTCTGTACTGATTATATGTTGACTAATTAAACTTAAAAATTAATTACGTGCATGGGTGCAAGTGTGTGCGCGTGCGTGCGTCAATATGTGTGAAGGTGATTACGTAGACAGAGACTCGCAAAAGATTTTCAACTTCATTATATTTTTTTGACTTTAACCATTTTGTTGTCTCAGTACGACACTCATAGGCACTTACCTAATACACATGTAGCAGTTTATTAATTTGGTTATAAATATGAGAAGAGAGTATATTAAGTTTGTTGAATATTGCTGTTTTACTATGATGTTCAATTAGTTTGTTATAATAATTAATACAAATAAAAAATTCTTCGATCCGGCTGTATTCGAACCAGCGACCTCGCCTCCAATCAGCCACCTCGCCATAATGTGGCTGATGCTCTCCTAACTGAGCTACGTAACAAACCAGCAGACTTTACGAATTTATCTAAGTGCTTGTTGCAGTTCTTTATTTTTGGTTCTAACAACTTTTTTCATGCCATAGCGCCAAACTAAACTACAAGAGATAATCAAAAAAGTTAAACAAAAACCTTTTTTCGTAATTTTAAAATTTTATACTTAAATAATAAATACAATGTTAAATAATTAAATAGTTGTAGTAAAATTAGAGCACGCTTCATTAGACATATCCGCTTGTTCTGTACTTCATAAACACTTGGTAAGGGTCACAGAGTCTGAAAAATTAGAAAAAACAGAATTTATTTAACAATAAACTTCAGAAATACGCACGAGCAAACCAATAAATACATATAACAATATCGGCGATGCATACATGCACTTTACACTTAAAGACCATACAGTAGTTTTTACAAAACATTGTTAATAATTTTAAAAATTATAAAAAAAATTATAATATGAAAAAAACTCTCCTCACAAGTTTTTGGAATGATGATCTATTTGCCAAGTTTTATTTAAATCGGGTTAATGAAGAGTGGGAGAAATTCAATAAGCCGGTTGCATTTCCTAATTTGCCACGTTCAGAGGTGGAACATTTTCTTCAAATTTTAACGGGTTCACTCGGATCACAAATGTTGGAGTATTTTCGTAACATACACAAAGAATAGTCGAATTAAGAACCTCCTCTTTTTTGAAGTCGGTTATAAAAGCTCTTACACACGGACTCTTTATTGCAAAAAATATTTTAATAATTACATCTACATACAACCATATACCTACTTACGACCTTGAAAAAAGTAAAAAGAAACAAGAGAAGAAACAAAAATATAAAAGAGTGCAGGAGAAACATTGACTTACAAATAAATGGACGACGGGTCTAATACAAAAACCACGAAAAAAATGTCCCAAGTCAACATATTCGAAATTTAAATTGTAATGTCATCGCAGTATCGCGCTGTCAGTCGAACAAATGAAGACTAAAGCGGAGTTTGGCGCTCTGTATACGATTTTAGCGCCTTACAAGTGCGGACACTTTTTAGCGCGGACCCGATGTCCATATAATTGTAAGTCAATGAGGAGAAAGTAATAATTTTTAAAATTCTTTACACGTCTCCCTTTCAACTCAAGATTGTTATTCACCTCTATGCTACTTAACATAAAACAGAATATTGAAGTTTAAGCGTCCAAAATGCTGCGGACTGGCCTTTTTAAACTTCATAGCTTGTTTATAGTTTAACATAATTGGTCTTACCGGCAGCATTCCTCAGCCGACATCATGACTGAAGGTGGCATGTAGCATGGCATTCTGATAATTAAGGCGGCTGAAAAGACAAGATTATGTTTATTTTAAATGTCTCATCACGTATAAAAATACCTATGGGTGTCCTTATTGACAGACAATTTTGGCACCATTCTGTTAATAAATGTCAATTCGCAACGTCTTCGTCAGTAGGTACAAATATAAATCAGGAAAAGGCTTTGTCACATAAAAATCAATAATGCAATTCGCCAGATTTAATAATTTTGATCTAAACTATAAAAATGAAAACGAATCGCTCTGAATCTTAGCTGGTTCAAAGGCGCTCCTAACACTGGCAGCATTATCGCGCTGAATGGCCAACGCAATTTGTTGCACCAAGTAAGATCCAGAGCGTGGATCACAGTTTCTATCTTGAAAAGGGTGTAAAATAGGGAGCAATAGGGAGCAATAATAATATATCCCTCGGTCCACATGAATTTATTGTACAAAGTAAAGGTGAAGAAAAGAAGAATGGCTGTAACAATAAAAATAGAATAAAAAACAGGTACAATATTAAAAAACACTCCCCACTTAAATACTACGAAACATGTTGGAGACAGTAAAGAACTTTACAAATATTAGTTAGGTTACTTGATTTTAAATATATTAGGTTACATCATTGACTTACAAATAAATGGACGACGGGTCTAATACAAAAACCACGAAACAAATGTCTCAAGTCAACCTATTTAAACGTAGTGACATGTAAAGGAATATGAAAAAGCTAAAACGTTGAATTTAAATTGTAATATCATCGCAGTACTGTCTAATTTTGCTTGCTTCGCTGTCAGTCGAACAAACGAAGTCTAAAACGTGAATGACGCTCTGTATACGATTTTAACGCCCTATAAGTTCGGACACTTTTTAGCGCGGACCCGACGTCCGTATAATTGTAAGTCAATGGGTTACATGATTAAAATCGGAAACTGGTAAATGGATCAAAATTAGTGGTGAAGATTCACCACCGCGACCGTTTTCTTATCCAATCTTCGATGTAGGTCTCTTCCCTCTTCTTCCATTCTTGGCGTTCTCGTGTCCGACTCGTCCAGTCCCGACCTCCGTGTCGACGCTCGTCGTACGTCCAGCGCTGCGGTGCGGTGGTCTGCCGCGCCCTCTGATGTGCGCCAAACATATAGGGAATATGAATAGTATGTTTTACGGGGAGGCTTCTTTCGTGCACCCTTTTTTTATATCTTTTTAATTCTTCTCTCATATTTATCACAATTCTTCTATCTTCCTGTTCTGAACGTAACAAACTTTCCACATTTTTTTTATGATATCAAGTAACGGGACCACAGACCACATTTTTTTTTCTCCCGTGAACGGGACGATCAAGTCGTGCACATAATAGTTACTGTGCCACTCGGAGCTTCAAACCGTAAAAAGCTGAGTGACAATACCACTGCGCCTGTCATTCGGAGGCAAAGTTGAGTCCCATATGCCTGTAGTTATGCAGAGACGCAATAATGTTGGCAGCACATCCATGAATGAACTCTTTCATAAGTATCTCCTTTGTTACTATTACAAAAAAAACAAGCTTACCAACCTAGGCATTTAAACACAGAGATAAATAAAGCAACAGCCAGCACTGAATCTATCACTCTAACGGTCATTGTTAATGCGTAAAAATCATGTATCAAACCGTGGGTTTCGATTAGAAATGCAAGCAAGAAGGAAATTTATGCAATACATTTTTGATTCGCTTATTAATCGTAACGGAATCAAACGAAATATTTACATTACCACGTCTTGTAATTTCAAATAGCATCACCGGTCCAGAAGATATCCTAGCCTTAGAATAATAACGCATAGAATGATAGTTTCATATCAAACGAACTGTCACAAGTGAGGCAAAAATCAAATTCATGTAGGCTAGTTTTAGTAGTAGGTTAATTTTCGGTTTTAGTGAATATTTATATAAAAATACAAGTTGAAACGCATTACTTCCTTGTGGAATGTGATGTTAGTATCTATTTTATGTTTGTCTGACGTATTTTTACACTCATTTACCGCACATTTCGTCATTTTTAGCTAAAATTCTTGATCTGTTCGCGGTGCAAGTTGACCTTGAGCACTGAAGGCCCGCGCGCTCGTGTAGGCCCTTTTGGCGCGCTTCAATATGCCTCACTTAGCGTGTGCGGACTAGGTTTCTATGCGTTATTATTCTAAGATCCTAGCCATCATTCTGAACAAAGCTTGCACTTACTTTATATCTCTAAATTAAAAAAAAGTGAGATCTGATAATAATTGGCGTTGGATTTTTTAATGAATTTTTAGTGTACATACTACATTACTATTTAAATGTAACTGTTAATAACTGATGGGTTAACGTTATCTTAATAAACGTTTTTTTTATTATAATTTATTTATTAAAAAATCAGTACGTATTTGACCTCCATCCCACCTGTGCCTCTACCATAAGATTACAATGACAGTTATCGCAAGCGATCGGGTAAAATGTTTTATTTATTTTTTTGTTATTCTCCAATTCAAGGCGTTTTTCTCTCTCAATATACTTTGAGTAGTGAGAACCGATTTTTATGATCTCCTGTGTCAAGTTCCGTATAGTGGCGAACTAGGGGATGAATCCGGGTTTGCGCACTTTCCGGTAACCGATTTCAAAAAAACTTGGCAAATAGATGTAATTACACGTACTTTTGAGGACAGTTTTTTAGTACTCTGTACTGAGATTATTTATTCTTGTTAACGTTTCGGGCGCTGCCATTTAAAACTGTCAAGTAATTTACGCGGTGGCTAGCAACAACAGTACCTCTACCACGAGTTTACAGTGACAGTTGTCGCTAACGATCGCGTAAATTACTTCACAATTTTCTATGCCAAATTATACTATTATAAGAAGAACCAACATTTCACGTAATCTCATGGTAAAGGCATTGTCACTGTAAACTCGTGGTAGTGGCACTGATTTTAAATTTGTACTTCTGCCGTAAACATTGAAAGATTCTTTTTAATTGTCTTCTAATTGGCAAATAGTCAGACGATATGCCTGATGATGAGGTAACTACCGCATAAAGGCATTTTCGATAGGAAGTCGTCCTTAACATCGCATATGCATTATAATAATCTAATATATAATGATCTTAATAGTCTTAACATACGCAACGTTAAGTCGTCCTTAACTTTGTGTATATTGTTTATAATAATAATAATTCGCTTATTTGCTTAAAACATGATATAACAGAACATGTTACAAGAGACAGTGCCAGTACAAACATGTTTCGCGTATAAAATAGCATGCAACCTAATAAAAGCAGTCTTGCTATGTAACAAAACTAAATAGGGCAGTGGCATCTAGTACTAAAAATATTAAATGCACCAGCAAAACCCCTTATAACTGTTCAAAAGATTTTAGTTAACCCCTGCGTTAATCCAGATAAACGATGGGGGAAACGAGTACTAGAGACCACGACTTCTCAAACATAGTGTAGGATGCTCTCCGGCCAGATGGAGTTACGATCTGCTAAAAGCTGCTGGCTAGAAATGGATGCGATAATTTGAGGATCTGGCACAATGGCGTACATCTGGGAAGGCTTATGTTGAGGAGTGAGAAGTGCAGGTTGTTGTTAAATGAAGCAAAAACAAACGAAGATAGTGTATAATTAAAACCAGTTTCAACCAGTTTTGTTAGTTCCCTTTTTTAACATATCAACACATCCGTAGAACAAAGGTCTATGTGCAAGGCCACTTATTCTCAGGACATAGCACATTTCGTTCGTTCTTCTTCGCTGTGAATGTCAGATCGACTATTGTTCAATTTTATAATTTCCGAAACGAAACAAGATATGTAAATTCTCAAAACACCTTTACGTAGGCCTTAGTTTGAATAATGAAATTATTCTGTAACGTACTAATCTCTTTTCGCTATATAATCACATCGGACTCTGTTCTTCGCATGAGTCGAAGAACAGAGTCGATATGGCTTGCCAGTTATATTGGCATACGCATACAACATACTTATCAGGTTTAGTAGCAGTAGAGCTTCTTGTGAAAGACCTCGTCCAAGGAAGTACTGCCACCTTACTTATTTCTGCCGCCATGCAGTAACGTTAGCATTATTATGTTCCGGTCTTGAAGGGTAAGGTTGCTGGTGACTTACACTTACTTACAGGCTCAGGAGACTTGTCAACTTACGTGTCAGGGTGACGGGTGTAATGGCAGAGCCCCTCAGATTTTTGTGTTATGGACAAGCGTGTAGCTTACCATCAGGCGCACGACTTGTTGTTGTTGTTGTTTTGTTGTTCGCGTCGTCACTTGATATTATAAAAAAAAAATATTTACACGAACGGTATTTAGGTATTTTAGGGCCCCTGGCTTTGGTGACAAAAATGAATACCAGGGATGACTGGAACATTTCAAACTTGATTCTTGTCGAATCGGAGGCATAAATTACCAGTTTTTCCTCTAGAGGTTGCTTTGGGGCTGGACCGTCCGGTAGCATTATCTAGAGTCGCACATATAACCTTTTCACCACATATAACCTTATCACGTGCCCTTTTTCAAGACAAATTTAAGCCTTTTCCCGGAGTCCAGGATGCTTTCCAACAATAATAGCCTGAGTAGTCATGTAGATCTTGACATATATTTTGACAGTTTACCCCATCATAAGAACAAAGTTATTTAGATAACGGAATTTCTTTTTTGCACTGTTCAATTTTGTTTATTATTTACCTATATTTGTGCAACTTTGAACATCGTATATTTGACAATAAAACGCAAGATCGTAACATACATTTAAACTGTTACAAAAAATGGCCTCATCATCAGGCAACAAGTGCAACATAGTTACATAATTAACTAATTAACAGAAAGAGCTTCGTCGGCAAGCAACACACATAGCACACTAAGAAAAATCTATTATAATGTATTACTAATAAAAACGGTATAAATAGTCAGTGTTACAGCACCAGACGTACCAGAACGTTTAACGGTTTTCAGGCACATCTTAGGGCAAGCAAAAGTAACGACCGTACACTGTGGATCAGCATAAAGACGCACGCACCAAGTAAGTATAAATAAGTTTCTTTACCAAAATATAACCAGTCATCTACCAACCAACACGACTCAATTATTTCTACCTTATATTACCATGGTGCAGCGGTGACAATTCACACCCTTTTACCTACGTCATGGCACAGTACTGACCCCGACATAGCAGCTACCTTCTGCACATTGAGGAAATAACAAACACGGAAGAAAATCAACATGTTGTTTCCCTAGTACAAAGTGGCTTCCAGCCTGTCTGGTAAAGTGGGACTCCGCCTAGAAGAACACAGCGTGGCTTGACGAAACGGTGCACGACTAAGGAGCTAGTGCCACACATGCGCCGCCACGAAGTCATCCACGCCAACAAGCACTTGCCGAAACCAGTTGCGCCGAAAGCGCCCATCGCATCAGAAGCATGGTCGCCGCGCGCCCCACATCCTACAGCTGCGCAACCCGCGCCCGCAAAGAAAGCGCGCTCGGCCCGTCACACGTTTGAATGGAGAAAAAACTGTATAAGTTTTTACAATAAGATTCCGGAGCATGTATTGAGATTACAATTTCCTAAGTTTAAAACTTACATCAAAAGTATTTTAATTGAGAAGTCATATTACAAAATTGAAGAGTATTTGCTAGATAAAGATATATGAAAAGACAACATGAGTCTAGATTCCACACAAATATGATTCAAAATGTATTCTATAGCATTTAGGTTTGTTTGAAAAGAGCAATCCCTAGACTTTATTGCTCGTTCTTCTTAGGGAGGTCAGCGTAGTGAACGAGCAGTAGCTTATAAAATGACGTTTTCGAGTGTAAAACAATTTACCTATGGAATAAATGATTATTTGACTATGTCTGTAACCTCCCGGGTTTCGGAGCCTGGAGGGACCAAGTATACCAAATAAGAAGATTAATTATCGCCTCACAGAAACAAACAAGGTAGAAATAAAAGAGAATTTTTACTGTGAGTGTGGTTTGTGTGAAAAAAATGAGTAACAATGGTAACGCCACAACAAATCGCGATGAAGGTAGTAGTCGTCTATAGCGCAAGTTGGTAGGCAGATACGTCTGCTCTTAAAGCTGTCATCTGCCGCCGTCCAGTCAACCCGTGACCGTGGAGCGTGCAACCGTTCCGAAATATCGGGAAAATAAAAAGAAGTCATACTGTGGTAAGAAACCTGAAATTAGTGAAAATTAAAAAAAAACTGCATATGGACAAATTAATGAAATCACCAGCGAAAATTTCAAAAAGTTCAAGAACTCGGAATAGTCCATATTATTATAAACAAGGAAGTACCGAGGTCAATGACAGCTTTACAATTGATTAGGACAGCAGCATCGCGTTACAATTTTAGACCTTGACACTCGACAGTTAAGAGCTACAACATAAACAAAGAATAACGCTGGCGCACCCTCAACGGAATATGGTTCATTCGCAGTTTAGTAATGAATAGTGTTAAAACATACAAGCAATTTGAAATTACAGCGACCATTTACATCGACTTTCGTGCCATAGACACCAAGATTGCCATATTAGACAACTAACACCTGTTTACCTGCGTCATGATACGGTCAGCAAGAATTGTAAATGTACGTAGTTAACCGCTATCATCTGATTTTAACTCATCTTCTGCTTAGTGACGTACTACCCG